CACCTAAAAGCACATGAGCCCTCGATCCGGCAATTGCGAAGACTTCTTGGAGACTTAAGGGATCATCCCGAACCACTAATTCGCAGGGTTCACATCCTGGGCACTCTGTTTTATTCGACATAGTTTCCTTTGGAATGAACCGGAACGGGAGATGCTCATGATCTAGGATGATCTAGGGAGCAGAAGTGAGCCATAGCAACGAATTGCCTCTTGCGTTTTTACAAACATAAGAGTCTAAGCTTCAGTCAGCACCCGACTTCTGCTTAGTGGGTTCCCACCAATGATTATAACCAAAAGGGTTAACCTGTTTCCTTGAGACTCTTTGAGAACTCTGCTCAATTTGCCGAGGTCCCCTGTCTAAAAGACAGCGGCAGGAAAGCCTGCTGGGGTGCTTCGTTGCACTGACTGATTTGAGCGCCTCAGTCTCAGGCTCGTGGGCCCCTCCCCTGGTCGCTTCGTTGCGGACTGGGGGGGTTCGTTATTCCCATAGGTTCTCTGGTTACGGCATTGGCCCTCCATGCAGAGCTTGACTTGGCGTTGACTCGAGACTTGAAGAAACCCGCTACAAGCAACAAGAAATTCGGAAGTGTCACAATTTGACTGGTACTCTCCTGCAAACCTTCTTTGTATTCGTTTGCAAGAAGTGCTTTTTCGCCGGCCTTAAGCAAAAACTGACAAATGTCCGGTACCGTCCGACCGCTTGGCGCCTGGCCCTTGCTGCGCAGCTTCTCCCCCACGTGCCGGTCCCCGTTCCTTGCAGATAGGAAAGCGGTACCAACCCTCGAGGCCATTGACTGATCTCAACCCAGAACTTCCATTTGCTTAAGCTCCCTGGACAAAGAAGCATGTCCAGTCATAGCTTCCCTTTAAAACGGGCAAGGGAAAATTAACCATGTCTTTAAGCAAATGGAAGATAACCACACAAGTTGCAAAGCAGGTGCTCTGCGCACTTTGGGCTTCTGGATTTTCATCAGGGTTTAGGGTTTAGGGTTGGAAATCCGGCAATTTCAGCGACGGGATAAAACCAAAAACAACGCACCCCTGTGCAAAAAATCGCTTTGGAGACACAGCTTGGGACAACCCCGTCAGCCAGCCAACTGCTGGAGCACAGGGAGAGCAATCCCAAGACCTCCGTATAGCGCTCGGAGGCGGCCCGAGGTCTCAGCAGTAGATCCCGGGAGCTTTCGAACCTCGCTCGATGTCCGGTCCACGGTTAGTACGTTCTGTTCAGCCCGGCAACCAGTCTTTCGATTGCTTTTGCAGACGCAAGCGGGGGTTTCCTTTGAATACCATCTCAAGCCAACGGCTCAATCAAAAGATTGCAATGGGCAGAAACGGCTGCCGTACCGCCCTTGGCGACTTTGGGCACCTGGGCTTAACAAGCGAATACGTCACTCACCAACCGCGAGCCCTGTAAAAGCGGCATTCGGCCTTAACGTGGAACCTGAGGCGTCTGTTTCCGTGAGAGGATCTTCAAGGGAGTCCATGCAATACGCGTGTCTCAGAAAAGGGGACGCCCCGAAAATGGTGGGTTCCCTTTGGCTTCCCTTTGAAACCACTTCCAAATGGCTATCCTCAAAAAGACACACGACTACACACTCTTTAGCCCTGGAAACCCAGTCTTAGCCATTTAAGAGGCAAAGGGCCAGGGACACCCTAATACAAGGGCACCCTTGGCAAGTGGAGTATTCTTGATATTCTTGGGGTCGCGTTCCCTAAAAAACCACCTGAAGCAAAAAGGGCATCAAACCTTGCCCTTTGGTGCTGAAACTGCAGCTTCCTCATTTGAAGCACCTGCCAGTGAATCCTTCAATTTGCTTTTTCCCGGGTAGACGTTCCCCTCAAAGAGATACTCATCAAGCTGGCGAATTGTTTCGACAAACGGACAAAACAAGCTACCTGAGAGTGCACATAAACTATCTAAACCTGGACGCCTCATGAAAGCCCGTTGAGGCAGGGAGACAAATGTGTGCGTGTGAGGCTGATGTGGGTCATGGTTCCATGAGAGAACCTTTACATTCGTTGTCTCAAGCCCCTAGGTTGACCATCCCTGCCACCCAAAGCAAAGGAACCCGTCTGTTGGCCATGCCACATAGAGAGGCTTTGGTGCAGGGCTTGCAGCAAGAATGGAACCCCGCTAGTCTGGTGGTCGATGGCCTCACGTGAAAGGCAGCACATGGCGAACTCATCATGGGGATCCCCTACTCACTTCCTGAGTAGATTGGCCAAATGCCCAAGCCATGACTCCATTGTCTTGAAACAAATAAGTCCTGAGCCTAGTTTCCCACATACATTTGCCATTTTGAGGATACCCTGGGTTGGTACGGGAAACGAGCAGCCGCCCCCAAAGGGAAAACCGAGGAACGCCAGGCTGTGGGCCCGGGTGATGGGGCAGCATGACCCAGTCATGGTGACCACAGCAACCAGGCTGCCGTCCTCGCCGGGAGTGTCCCCTACCCGGGGATTGACTGCATTTCGCCCAACCCTCAAATAACTGGGCTGCCCGTTTTCTGATCCCCCGCTAAAAGCTTAATAGACACTAAAAGGCTAAAAAGCGAAGGGGATGGCTGGGAGCCACCAAGATAAGGGAACCCTTTCCGGGATGACAAGTTTTAGGGGGAAATCCAAGGGAAGCGTTACCCGCGGCCTTACATGAAAGTGCACGGAAGGGTAGTACTCCCCGGCCAATCAGGCACGTCGTTCGTGGCCTGAAAATCAAAGTTAAGTTCATATGATCCATATCCGCAAGCTGTTCTCATACGCAAGCGAAGAAACTGCGGGACTCGCAACACAATGCTCGGATCGGGTCCTCTAGCCCTTCCAAGACTGGCCTGAACTTCTCCAGGTAGGCCATTGGCAAATGCGCTTTGCGGCCGGCGAGGCTCGGCGGGCTTGCCAGTTGTTCTGGAAAGCTCTCACACTTGCCAATTGTTGGCATTTGCAGTGTTTCTGTTGTATCATACACGTTCTATGCTGTTGCTGCTTGTTTCAGGGGCCCTTTGTGCGAAATGGCAGGCAAACGAGCCTGAGACCAGCGCCAAAAGGCAGCAAGCAACAGTGGCTTGCTACTCCGGGGACCCAGCGCTTTTCTGGATATCCCCTTGAAAGTAGTCTCTCCGAGGTCCCTAAAAGTTGAAACACTTGGATTTCAGAGTGTCTTTTTGGTAGTGAACCCTTTTTGTGTTGGCTTAACAGAAAAAACCAGAGACAAAAAACACCGTTTTGGTGTGGTTCCCTAGTTGGAGACAAGCCCATCTGGAGCAAGAGCTGTCAGTAGTTTTTTTTTTGTTTCGGTTGACAGGCACTGACCTGCGGCGCTTTCTTCAAGCCCAAAGCTGCGAAGCCGGAGCTGCTGTCGTCTGTTTGGCGACGCCGGGCTGGCATCCCTCTGATGTCACCCGGGGGTTACATAAAACCCCAGGGCACGTGAAATGACACCCGAGATCAAAGTTGGCCATTTCTGGGATGCTTGAAGGACCATCAAAAAGATACCACCAGTTTGGAAGGGACCAACTAGTGTCAACATACCGCCGAATGATCTGTGCGCTGCTTGCCGCTTGCCCTTAAGCACTGTCCAAAGGCTCTTGTCCATATCCGTCCAAGTTTCGCACATCCTCACATGGGATTGTCTCACAATGTGCCGGGGGGGGGGGGGGGGAAAGGGAAGCCAAAATGGTTGGTCGCCTGAACACAACCCTTGGGAACTCTTTGAGGATGTTGTTGAACGAAAACGGAGTAGCAGTTCGAACCAAAATAGGATACAGTAAGAGCATACCTACTAGCACGGAGTTGTGGGTTCGTTCAAACCAGACGAAGGCATGATCAGAAGATTAATCCCTTCTAATAATACAGGTCGCCGAAATAATAATAATAATAATAGAATAATAATAATCTCGACTCCAAACAGATCCAGGTCAGGAAATGCTTAATTTAGAACAGGCCACGCAATTCCAAATTAATACTAAACTAACAGTTTTCCGTCGTACCCCAACTCGAGCCTGTCCTCCAAATCCTTTCTTTTCAGAAGCCCAAAACAACAGAACCCGAAGCTGGCTAGTGATAATTGAATTACAGATTTTGAAATTGCACTTGTGGAGCTTTTTGTTGGCTTTCGAAAAGCAAAGGCGGCGGCAAACAAACCTGCCTGCTTACATAATTACTCGACCCTATGGAAACGGAAAACAACATAAGTCTGAACCATTTACATCCCTTACCACAATATTTGCCTTCTGTGAGCATGTTTGACCCGTCCCTGCCGCGGAAAAAAAAAAAAAAAAAAAACTGCAATCAAGTCCCCCCCAATAAAATTGTGATTTCGGGGAAATCTGTTTGTGCTTGGGGGGTCACGTTTACTATTAGGGGGAAGGGATTGTATTGCATACACTAGTTTGGCCCTTACATGACCACTTGAGTGACTTGCTTAGAAAGTGAAATTTCAAACGACACGCTCTCCGAAAAGGGAACAAACAAACGCACCACTCGATGTCTGGGGCACCACTCAAACCAGCAAACCCTCAAGAAACACACGGCAAAACGCGCCTGCCATGGCAGCGCCTGTCATCACACGAGGATCAACCAACCCGCCAAGCAACCAAGCAACCAAGCAACTAGACAAGCAGCAACCAAGCAGGCAACCAAGCAACAAACCAACCAAGCCAGCAATCGAACGAACACATAAACAACCGACCAAGCAAGCAAGCAGGCAGGCAAGCACGCAACAAACCGAGCAACCAAGCAGGTAACAGGAAGCAATCAATTCACCATTTCACCCATCAGCTGCAGCTGAATTCTGGCCCACCAACCATTCAAATCCTGCAATGTTCGAGGGGCGGCTTACATTTGCTTCGGAAGGCTTCAACTATGGAGGGTGACCAACGGGCTCGCCTGATGAAAGATAAAAAACAATGCATCCATCCCCTTTTGGATTTGATTCTGAGATATTGAAAAGTATGTGCTATTTACGAATCATGAACTGACTGCCAAGACTGATTTAGACACAACAAATACAAAAAAGAGGTCCGCCAAATGGACACGTGAGGCAAAATGCTCAAAAGCGGCCCAAGGGTGAAATGAATAACTCAGTTGTTCAGTGACCCTGGGAAAAAAGGGAACCCTTTTTGGGGAAGATCATTTTTAGTGTTGCAGTCACCAAAAAAAAAGAAGAAACAAAAAGGAAAATGGGTGCCACTGAACAACTGAGATAAGGATAGGACCTTGGCCGCGTCCGTGGATGACTTCTCTGATGGGCAAGCCCCTGCGACAAAAGGGTTCTCGCTGTCCAACCAACGACAGAGTCGCAATCAACGCCGCTTTTTGTCCCTATCCTTCAACTACCCAGGTTTTGATGGTGGCCGAAGTTGGGAAAGAAGAAGCGACTAGGTGCTAGTTATCGTGCCAGACGTTGGACTCTTGACCACAATGCAATCAACACAAAAGCACAGGCATTGGCTCGTGTCTTCAGCCCGCTTCAGAAAGAAACCCAGTTATTGAACTGAGCCGTTGCAACCCGTATTTGCATATAGTGGATGGTTTGGCTCTCGCCAGGTCGAGAACTTCCCGTGCGGTGTCCGTAAGGTATGGTGATGTTATGTGATCCACTTGCTAAGCGGACCCGGTTGCAAAAAACGGGGCCCGCATTTCCACCGGCCTCTTGCCATCATTTGCTCGGGCTGTTCAAAATGGTGGTTCACCAATCCACATTCATGGGAACTAACATATGGCACCAAATCCTAGCCCGAATAAATACTCAAGGATCGAGTGTGGCACCTCCCAAACTGCTACCCTGTGCAGGAGGGCTCCGCTCATGTCGACCCCAGTTTAAGGCACCTGGTGGATGTGACCCAACCGCCAGGCTGCACCTCCCGACCAAAATCAACCACGTGTTCTGCATGGGTCAAAACTACCACATACCTACCCCTCTAGGTGTATATGGGACTATGGGAGGGCCTACGTGCAGTATTCCTTACCTCAGCTACCATTAGACTCCTCGCCCCTTATGACAGCCTAGAGTACTAGAGTACCGAGACCCTGTGAACCTTGGCATGTGAGGATGAGCACACTGAAGCTCTAAACCTTTCTGAAGTTACCCGGTGGCTTTCGGGAAACTCCTTTGGGTGACAATTTCGCCGTTCAGCCCTCTTTTCGGTTGGAGGCAATATGCGCCCATCCCCGCAAGCGGGTTCTTTGGGGATGATCAGCGAACGATGAAACAATAACCAGCTTGCTTACTACGAAATACGTAACCAAGATACTAAGACATCTAAACTAGCACTTAACATAACTAAATACAAACTACGTCTTCAACGGACAAACGAAAAGAGAACGTTCGAACGACGGAAGGTCCTTTCCGCCACCCACCGCGCGACGACGCCTCCTTCCGAGCGCCGCGCTTGGCGTGGCTATACGCCGGAGCTGTGGCGCCCGCGGGCTGGCGGACGGAGGCCCGCGACGTGTGGTGCTTCCGCAACAAGTTCTCGGTTGTCTTCTGCTCCCCTGCAGTGGTTTAATGGAAAAGCCATGAGTTGGCAAAAAGTTAAAGCCCTAACATCCAAGCAAAATGCACCAAAGACTTGCTGGTTCTCAGCAGGAAATGGCCCCTAGAAACCATCCCTCACGGTTTCCTTTCAGGGGACCAAAGCCTGGGTTCATTCTCACATTCCCTACTGAGCACGCAGCAAGACAAGATTCAACATGAATCTAAAGATGGTGTCCACTAGCCCCAAACCCAAACTAACCCCAGAAAGCTCCCAGAAAGCTGTATCCGTGTTGGGGGTAGTGGACACCATCTTAGCATGAGTCACTTTTACCACCAAGTAAGTATGACAATAAGTCAGAGGGAGACCCACCTTCAGCCATAGGTGTCCTTTTAGGGTAAATAGATGGTCCTGGTAGATGATTGAACGACTGGGTAAACCAGGCCATCTATTTTTTGACCAAAGCAACCAAAAAAGGACACCTATGCATTCAGCTTTCTAATTGGTGGGTTGGATTGGTTTGTTTGTTGGTGGCGGTTTGGAGGTGTTCTTGGGTGGCTTTCCATTCACCCTCAATAAGAAGCAAGGGTTCAATTCCCCAAACCACCAATCCAGACCATCAATTTACGTTAAAGCAGCTTGAAAAAGAGCCTCGGGAGAAATCAAACAGAAAACAACATTTGTTCGGGTCCCCGTACTGCTTTTGGTATGACAGAACGTGGCAACCCAAAACCCAGCAAGGACGTCACAGTGTCACAAGTGAAACCCCCGCCCCCCCCATGTTGAAGCAACACCTGCTCAGGGGCGCAGGGAGCCACTTGCATGCTCAAACCCGTTGAATTACTTCAACCCCCTTTCCACTCTACTCAAAGCAGGTTGAGGGAACTTTGATCCAACAGAAAACAGGGTCAAAGCCTTGGGCTGAGCTAAAGAAACGGAGAAGCCGCTCATCAGCCTGTGAACTCCCGAGAAGGCGTAGGCCACGCCTTGACGCCAGCGCAAGCTCCATGGCCAGGCTCGGCTCACGCGCCATTGGAGCGAGCCCATGGGAGGGTCATCCCAAAGGGAAAATGCCAACACCCTCTAGGCACACGAATCTGTCGGGTGTGATTCCTTAATTGGTAGAAAAAACCCAGTGTAAGTGATGTCCACCAACGGGCCCCCAATTAATTTATCATGGCCGAGCCACAATCAAAACCTGGTGTTAACATGGTCTACCCAGGACCCTGTAAAGAATTAAGAGGGCGGAATGCCGCAACGATTTCCGGCTGGGACTGCCCCTTACTAACCTTCATCTACCCGGGTTTTGAGCACGTGGCACACCTCACTTTGCCAACATTGGGTGTGACAGCCATGTCGCAGTCAAAAAGGGAAGGTGTCA